AAAAAGTCCAATTTAATTTTTTCATAGAAAATAGAAATAAATAATAAGAGAAAGAAAGAAAGATAAATGGAATATAATCAATAAAAAAAATAAATTTTAATCATACATGTCCATAGAAGATTAAAAGAAAGAAATATTGAATATATATATTGTGAAAGTCTCCCAAAATTTCGTAATTAATAATAGACAAATTTTAAGATTTTATGAGTACTTTCTGCTTAAAAGTTGGTTATTCAGAGACTTTTATAAAAGTCTATAGAAGTCATTAAAATTTGAATACCCCAAGATTTATAGAGGCTTTTAAAAAGTTTGAATTGAATACACCGTAACTTTCAGATACTTTTTAGAAGTTTATAAAAATCTCAATTGAATATATCATGACTTTTGGAGAATCTTAAAAAGTCTTAATTAAATACTCCTAAACTTTTAAAATCCCAAAAAGTCATTAAAAATTTCAATTGAATATATCCCCTAAATGACCCACATTGATGAATTAAGTAGGAATAAAATTTCATTGTTTCTGCTTGTGATCAACTCCATGAAATGATCCATCTTTTCTAATCATATCTCTTACACGTTACCCTGTATTCTTAATGCAGCTATGGCAACTGGAAACACTCTTGCTGCAGAAGGACACATACTTAAACTACAGTCAAGCCCTAAGCTACACAAGCCAGGCTTTGAGTCAAAACTTACATGGACTAAGAAACAGAAGTCCCATAAGAAGAATGAGTACAAAACTGCTTTATTTTTTGCAAGAAAATTGGAGGAGAATTTGGGTCCTGTTGTTGTGGATTTTGATAATGATTGGGCTCTTCACTTGGAAATTCTATCAGTATAGACAGAAAAATGCATTCAAAGTTATGCGTTATTGTCTTCTTACAGCTAAGGGTGCCGCTGAGACATTGAAACTCAACATGGCTCTTATACTATTGCCAGTGTGCAGGAACACTATCACTTGGCTGAGGTCCTCTAAGTTGGGCTATTTTTTGCCTTTTGATGACAACATCAATTTTCACAAGGTAGACAACCTTATTCTCTTTCAAATTTTTATGACACATTGGGCTTAGGTCCTCTGAGTTGACTTGATAAAAAGTTCATAATGCATAAAAAATCATTTGCAGTTTTAATTCACTCCTACCGTAATAATATACAATGAACAAACGCATAAAAATATAATCTTGGAAGCGTTATGTATTCAAGAGTCTACCTATTCCATTCCTTTTTATATGGTCCCATTTGAATTACTTTCCATACAAGTAGTTGGTGATCAGTTTATTCATGATCTGGTACAATAAAAGTGGTAAGCTTGTGTTTCCATCCAAACTAACTGAAAATGACAACTTCATTTATTCATGATTTGATACAATAAAGTGATAAACTATGTTGCTGAGAAATACTGATTATCGTTGGCCAGCCAAAAGTGATAGCCTAAGAAGCCAAGAAAAAAACAAAAAATAAAAATGATTTTGTGACACTAACATAGAGAAAAGAAAAGAATACCGCCCCAATCAACTATTTTAGCCAAATATTTTACAACATAGTCGAAGATTATTACTTTATATTTCTAATTTGTTGAAACTTGTTAAAAGTGAATCTCTAGAAAGTAATGGTGTGGTAGATTGGAATATCTTTTACTAGTTACAGTATCATGCCTCTGTGGCCTTGTTAATGAAATCAAAATTGATGGAATTATTTCAAATCATACGTCGTTTGTAATTTTAAATTATGGATATGTGCAGACCATTGCTGCGGGTATTGTAATCGGTGTCATACTCCATGCTGGTAACCACCTAGCATGCGATTTTCCAAGGCTAATACACGAATCTGATGCCAAGTATAAGCTTTATTTGAGCGATGATTTTGGTAATCATAAACCCAAGTATATGGACCTTGTTAAAGGAATTGAAGGTGTGACAGGAATCCTAATGATAATCTTCATGTTGGTTGCTTTCACTTTGGCGACGAGGCAGTTCAGGCGGAGCCTTATTACGTTGCCTAAGCCCTTCAACAGACTCACAGGTTACAATGCCTTCTGGTATTCACATCACCTGTTTGTCCTTGTTTACATCTTGCTAATCATCCATGGTGTGTTCCTTTATCTTGTGCACAAATGGTACAAAAAGACGGTATGCATCGAGAATTGCCTTTTTCTTCTCAATTATTGCTTGAATCATCTGATTACAGATAATTTTCCATTGGTTGCAGACGTGGATGTACCTTGCTCTTCCTGTACTCCTATATGCCGGGGAAAGGACCCTCAGATTTTTCCGGTCAGGCTTGTACACAGTCCGGCTGCTGAAGGTGAGCATGGCATTCTGCTTATTCTAGTAAGAAGGAATCAGGGCTTTATCCAGAAAGTTCTACAGAACCCTGAAGATTGTTTAACCTTGGATTGCTGTTAATTAGCTTGCCCTTTGTAGCTCAAGAGAATGCTTTCAATACGTGTCTTTACAGTTATTTAAATGTTCTGATTTTTCACATTTAACCTGCTTTATAACCTTTTCAGGTTGCTATTTATCCAGGAAATGTCCTGGCATTACAAATGTCTAAGCCTCCCCAATTTAAATACAAGAGTGGACAATACATGTTTGTCCAATGCCCTGCTGTTTCCAAACTTGAATGGTGAGTTAAAAAGAACATTATCCTATTGATGTACAAGATAAAACAATAATATCCTGATGCCATTGCAATTTTTTCAATATGTACTACATCCTGTTTCCGTAGCTTGACTAGGAAAGTTGCACTGTAATTCTAATGAAGTTATAATAATTGTATTCCATTTTCTACATCCGGTATTTGTTTATAATCAAATATTTCCTGATATTGTTTAATAGTGATCCCGAAGTAAGTCATTGAAGGAACTTCAAAATCAGAGACTAATAGACTGCAGGCAATTATGAAACTTCATTTTTTCTTGGTGCTTGATTACCTTTTTACAATCATGCAGGCATCCATTTTCCATTACCTCAGCCCCCGGGGATGATTACCTCAGTGTACACATACGGCAGCTGGGCGACTGGACACAACAACTGAAGAAGGTATTCTCTGAGGCTTGTGAGCCACCTGTCTGCGGGAGGAGTGGGCTACTCAGAGCAGATGAAACAACCAAGGGAAGGTACATTTCTTTTTTCTGAATCAGTATATGTACTTTTCTTCAACCTCTATTCTCTCCATTAGCTTGTGAATATATTCCATAATCTAGAATTTCGCTCCAAAAATCTCAGTTTGCCAAAGCTATTGATAGATGGACCTTATGGAGCTCCTGCACAAGATTACTTTAAATATGATGTCCTCCTACTCGTTGGACTCGGAATTGGAGCAACACCTTTTATCAGTATCCTAAAAGATTTACTGAATAATATTGTCAAAATGGAGGAGCAGGCGGTAACTTAATTCTTCATATTTAGTCTTTCCTATATGTCAGCCTGCTAGCGTTTAGGCTTCTTGAGTTACTATGTCATTCATTTTATCATTACATATGCATTTAATGTTATACTGTGTTAATGTTTAAAACATGTTCTCAAAATTCAATTTCCTTCTTTCAGGATTCAATTTCAGATTTCAGTAGGCATTCGGATCAGAGTCTTGGATCAATTAGCTCGCCCTCTGTCAACAAGGTATATACAAAACAGAAGAAAACACTGAGGACGACGAATGCTTACTTTTATTGGGTGACAAGGGAACAAGGATCCTTTGATTGGTTCAAAGGTGTCATGGATGAAGTTGCGGAACTTGATCAAAGGGTAACTTAAGCATAACATCTAAAATTTCTATTAGAAGTTTTCGCTTTTTTTTTTTTATTGTAGCGTTTGTCTCTGTAACTTTATAGGGTGTCATTGAGATGCACAACTACTTAACTAGTGTATACGAGGAAGGGGATGCTCGCTCAGCTCTCATCACCATGGTCCAGGCGCTAAACCATGCTAAGAACGGGGTCGATATTGTCTCTGGTACAAGGGTAAGATCTCTAAGAAATGTTTAATAAGATGAATTAATCATTATTAAAATCTCATATATTGTATTCTCTAATCCAGTCCAGTACTACATACTAAGCGTATCCTTCTATTTGTGATTACACCAGCTGAATAACACCCCTAACAACTTTTTGCTTCTTAGACCTACTTATTTTGTTGCTTATGAATAATATACCTATGCTGTTGCTTCTGACAGGTCAGAACTCATTTTGCAAGGCCTAATTGGAAGAAAGTTTTCTCTAAAATTGGTACTAAGCATGCTAATGCAAGAATAGGTGAATATTTTCTTCTATAGATGCATAATGAAAAAAAATTTAGTCTTCTTGAGACTTGACCATATCTTGTTTTGGTATTTGGAGCAGGAGTTTTCTATTGTGGGGCACCAGTTTTAGCCAAAGAACTCAGCCAGATATGCTATGATTATAATCAAAAGGGCTCAACCAAATTTGAATTCCACAAAGAGCATTTCTAGAAAGCAAGTTATCGTCTAATGACTTGATTGCTAAGCCATATTAGACAACACTAGATAATAAGATGAAGTCAACTCCGGCGTAACAAACATGTCCTAAGTGAAAATACACACTTTGCAGAGCCAGCCAACCCCGGAGCTTGTTTGCAGACCTGCACTCTCTCATAATAAGGTGAAATAGAGAGCAAGGGGATTTGAAATTGCAGGAAAATTTGTACAGTTCCTGGTAGAGAATAAAAATTTTCAGAAGTATATATGCACAAATATTCCTTTTGCAAGTACAGTTTTATAAGCCAACAAAACCAAGAAATGATTCTGGTTCGAGGGAGTGTCAGTTGGCTCTGCGGAGTGCTAAGGTGAATTGAAAGATGAAAGTGTTTCACAATCAAATGCTATTTTTACATGTCATAGTCACGCATTCATGTTGTTAGGTTGGATTTGAAAGTAAAAATTTCCTTATAAATTTATAAGTTCCATATAATTTTCGAAGGATTTGCAAAGACCTATTTGAGGTCACGCTAAACAGAAAAATTAATGAATCAATGATAGCATTTGAGATACGCGGGATATTACAAGTATCAAACTCAAAATTGGTGCTTTAACTCCTCAAGAATTCTTGAATAATCAACTCTCGTTTTATGTGCCAGTAAAAAAGAGATTAGAGATATCCTCTAGGCCCTTTAATGACTCAATCAGAAAGAGAATAAATATAGGTCAATGCTATGCGAAACTTCCAAAAAATAAAAAAAAATAAAAAAAAAAATTGGATTAAAATTAAGAAAAGAGAAAGTCTTAAGAAAATGAAAGGAAAAGAAAGTTTCCAATACAACCTGACAAAAAAGAGCATAAAAAATTGTTCCTAGGTTAGTAGACTTGTCTTGTATCTTACATTTATTTTTCAGAATAATGTTATTTAGTTGATCTCAATCTATGCATTGTTAGATGATAAACTGAACAAAAGCTAAAGTTAAATTATTTAACTTATCATTTGATGTCATTAGCGTCTTAAAGACGAAGGTCATAACCCCATTATGCTACTCTCTCTCTGTTTGTTTGTTTTTTTTTTTTTTTTAATTTAATACAAGAAGCTTTTTGAAAATAAAGGAAGTAGAAATATTTCACGTGTACATATAGAAAAATCTCAACTACTTTTAGGGTTCGTTTGATTGCAAAGATGGAATTGAATTGAATTGAATTGAAACGAGCTCTAGGAAATTGAATTACTTAAAAATTATTTTCCTGAGAATTGTAAATTATTGTGTTTGATTGGTATAATTTTTTTACTTGAAAAATGTTGAAATAAAAATATTTTTTGCTGCTCGTTTGGCTTTATTTTACATGAAAATTATCAATTAAAGTGATAAAATTTACTAGTATTGGGAATAGAATTTGTGTTTTATTGTTTAAAAAAAAAAAGCAGCCAAGAAAACCAAAATTCATCTATTTTTTTGTATTCGTTTGACTTTTTTTACATTAGAATTGTCATTTAAAGGGATATAATTTATTACAATAATTTTTCGAATTTGTTTAAATTGTAAAATAAAAAAATGACGTGAAAACGTGGAATTGGCTGATGTGGCCATAGAAAATGGAAAATAAATTCAACTCCAAATTTTGTCAATCAAACACAACAAAATTGAAAAGATGGAATTCAAATTCCATTTTTCTTGAAATTCCAAAGCTATCAAACGGGGCCTTAGTGTTTGGGAGAGAATTTTAAGTGAAAAATAATTTTTGAAAAATATATAGATAAAAAGTTTTAAGAAAATTAAAAGATATTTTTTTATTTTTTATTATTAAATCTCTCCCAAACAAATACTTGATATATGATTAAACACACTAGCCCAGACAACAAAACTGACTGGGGTTCAATCTTTTTTTCTTTTTTTTTTCTTTTTTTTTCAAAATTGACTGATTTATGTGATAAAAGCTTCTGATATTAATTATTAATGCCGAACATCTTTTCCTAAGGCTACAAAGGTAACAAAGTCATGAGTTCCTCTAAAAGTACGCGTCAATTCACAAATTATTCTTCGCCTTTTTCTTAAATTTCACATTATTTCTTATTTTCCACGAATCTGCCTCAATAATTATGAAAACTATGCACAAATATTGACCATGTTATGAGTCCCAAAAATACATTCATTTTCATTTTCATATACTCGGGCATTCCTTCAAGAAGAAAATAACCAGCTTTTTTTATTCAGAGAACAAGAAAGAAATATGGCTGCAAAGAAGTATCAGCAGAAATATCCACTAGCTCCGCCCCAGTGTCATGCCTCGAAATAGGGCCGGTCCTGTGATTGTTGGGGTCCAAAACAAAACATATAAATTAGGCCTCCCTCCCGAAATCAACATAAATGCAACGGTGTATCATGCAGCTTATTGCTAACTTAAAATTTAACACTAAAAAAAAACAAGTATATTATATAAAAAATATATATTATCAAATAACAAAACCAACAATATTTCAAACAATTAGTTAAATACTATTTGTCTTACTATTTTAGAGGCAAAAACATTAATAAAATCTGAATAGTTTAGCTGGTCAACCATTTCTTTCTCTATTGATAACATAGCCAATCCATTCTATCTTTTTTCTGACATAGTTGATCATATAATAATCAATCGTATAAGCTAACCAAGCTGCAATTATATAAGCCGACAAGGCTCCAAACATTTTCAATTTCTTAAATAACAAGTTAGGGAAAGCCACTGCTTACTTGGGAAGCAGAATTGCATTGAAAAATGTGGAATCACACCCTCGAGAGTTCCATCATCATAATTTACGAATCTGAAACAAAAATTTAACATCAAACATCAATACTTAAAAATAGACGCGCATTTAATCAAGCTTAGGGCAATACCACATTTAATAAGAACTAATCACAATTAAAACAGTTTCATCAACAAAATAAATTAATTCAAATTAGTATACTGGTTGCAGAAACTAAAGATATCTTTTCTTGAGTTCATTGACATAATAATATCTCAAGTTCTCAACTATATATTCTCACACCTTACCTATCAAACTACGTTATTGAAATTGAGTATAAACTATTTCACACATTAGTCATTATTAGAGATTTGAGAGTTCTTCATCTCAAACTTGTACAACAAATTATATATTAATCAATAATCATTAAACATAGTTGTAGCATTTTCAGGTCCTCGGCTCCATCCTAGACTAGATAACAGTTAACCCATTAACATTTAAGTATTTAACAGTAACATAGAAAAAGAGCATTTATCAATTAAAATCAAGTAATCAAAATTAAAATAAGTAAAAGGCAAAAGCCATAAATGAATAGTTGAATACTTAATGTAAATGTAATCATATAACTCAAAAGGAATTAATAATCTTAACATACTAAACTAACAGCCAACTGCCAAGCACTTGCTTGCTAACAGGGGTGAATAGCGAACTGCGCTCTACAGCGGAACGAAATCGGTGTGAACTATGACGGTGTCCGACTCCGTGGACTGTGATTGATGACTCAAAGGAAGAGGAAATCTGGAAGTCGAAATGAGGAAGTCGAGAATGACGAGAAGAGAGTCAGAGGCGACCGACGACACTGTGAAGGAGACAGACTACTCAGATGAGCGTTTTTGGGAGAAAGGGGTTTTTGATTGGGGATTGGGAAATTGGGAACGCTCTACAGCGGAACGAAATCGGTGTGAACTATGACGGTGTCCGACTCCGTGGACTATGATTGATGACTCAAAGGAAGAGGAAATCTGGAAGTCGAAATGAGGAAGTCGAGAATGACGAGAAGAGAGTCAGAGGAGACTGACGACACTGTGAAGGAGACAGACTACTCAGATGAGCGTTTTTGGGAGAAAGGGGTTTTTGATTGGGGATTGGGAAATTGGGAATTTTGGGTAAATTATGGATAATGGATTATGATTTATGGATGTATAAGTTGGGTAAATGGATTAAAACTAAGGATATTGGATCTGGGCTTGAAGTTGTGGGCTGCTCTTCTTCATCACTGGGTTTGGTTCAACTAAAAAAAAATTCTGGGTTGAAAATGAGGCCCCCCTGCAACCTAGGCCTGAGGCGTAGGCCTCATTCGCCTGACTCCAAAACTGGGCCTGCCCCCGAAGCGATGAAGAATCAATTGCTTTCATGACGATGAGCTCAAGAAGAAGAAGAGACTGAAATGCCTTGCGTATATTGCTCTCTACGCCGTGTTTCAAACCATAATAATCCTCGTCTTTGCTCTCACTGTGATGCGCGTCAAAACGCCAAAGGTAGAACTAAACCATCAAAATGCTTAAACTACAAGAAATAAAATATACTTATTTTCGTAAATATTTTCTACCAAATGCTTCCTGACGTGCGTGTCAAATTCATTTTCATCAAAAGTATAATTTATGCGCAACTTTTCATAAATATGTAGCTATCAATATTCTCAACGCAAAAAACTGCTTTGATACTGTGTTGAACTAAATCAACTAAAGCCTTATGTTAGACATAAGATACATTTATTTATTTAAATTTTGTCTTCAACACTCCATTTTACACATGCGTGCCCAATGTAAGAACGAAAACATTTACTTATTCAAATTTTATCTTCAATAGGTCCGTTTGGGAGACGTAAGCATCAGCAGCACCAATGGAACTGGTGAAATTAGGTTTTCTGCAAGAGTTCTTGTAAGGAACAGAAATTTTGGGCACTACAAATTTGATGACACCATGGCAACTATAAAGAATGGGGATGTAACTATAGGGCAATTTGTAATCCCAGAATCAAGGGCTAAGGCACGATCAACTAAAAGATTTTATATCATTGATGATATAAATTCTTCTTCAGCAGGCAATCATTCTGGGGTTTTGCCTCTCTCTGTTGAGGCCAAATTGCGAGGTAAAGTTCATCTTATGAAGGTTATAAAAAGGAAGAAATCTGCTGATATGAATTGTACTATGTCGATTAATTTGGCTACCAATGCCGTACAGGATCTGAACTGCAATTGAGGGAGCGAAATGGATTGAGAGATCCGTGTCAAGTGAAGTCATGATCGAGTTACTGAAAACTCTACGAAGTGTTTTCTTGGATAATTTGGCCATGTCATTCCATTTTTTTTTTTTTTTTGATTTATTGAAATTTGTTTCATTTTTTTGCAATCCCTTCTTGGTTCCATTATGCTCACTATTAATTTGAAAATTGCTTTTGCTTTCTTTGACGTCATTATTATTCTCCTTCAAGAATGCTTATTTCAATATTTAATAATCAATATGAGACTCATTTCTTAACATGAGCATGCAATATGATGACTCGTGAAAGCTTTAATATTAAAATTTGATTGCTCGTTTAAATGTTAGTGGATTAAATTGCAAGTTTAAACAATACTAATTATACTAATAAATTTGAGATTGACCAAGCTGTTTTTGGCAATTTCAAATACTATGGATATATTAACAAAATACAAAGAAAAGGTCATCCATCCCATTTAATATTTGAAAATATTTTTATGATTTATTTTTTTTTTTCTGTTTAGCCTGCAGTTCTGGATGGGAAATTCAAATGGCGGATTCCAACTCACAACGTAAATATGTACAAACCTGACTCCTTTTCTAGAATTACGCTTGAGATTCAACTTCTTTTGCAGGTACCATAGCATTCTCTTAATTATTGATGAGATGAATGTTGAAATGCGAAAAAAGAATTACTCGGAAAATAAAAAATTTCTTTAATTCAAAAACCAAACCGAATTTTACACTGTATACATGTTTGACTAAGTTTAGTTTTTTTAATAAGCCAAACATATATACATGTTTGACTATGTTTAAAAGCTACTTTTAAAATACTTCACTTTCCTTAAGCTTTGCCAAACATGCTTTAAGGCCTTGAAAATGAGCACATGAAAACATGAGAAAATCTTTAACAAAGGCACCCAAACCTAATCACTTCCCGTCTCTAGCAATGAAATAAGGAAAAAAATTCTTCCAAATGGCGATTTCTCTAGTAAGGTAAAACAACTTTAGTAAATAATAAAATGGAAAAATTATGGCAACTCAACAAGGCATAGAACCATGATCGTCAATTTTGTAACTTAAAAAAAAATATAAAATAAAAAATCTACTGAAGAAAATCTTGGCCGAATGCAGTGCATTTATTTGGATTTCCTTTGTTCAGAAACCCTTGCACCTGCAATCTTGCAAACTGGTTCATCCGTAGGTTTTAGCAGCTTCAGAGCTGGATGAACTTTAAGGTCCCCCATCACTATCTTCTGGCCGACATCTAACTCGCTCAAATCAACATCAATATAGGGAGGAATAACATCAGGAGGGCAAAGGAACTTAACGGTTCTCTTGATGATGTTCAAATACGACCCTGCAGATTTGTCAAGTGAAATTTGATATCAGACAAAGATGGCATATTTGGTAAGGTGAATTGATTGGTATTCTTCGACTCATCGTTACTCTTGATGGTGAATATGTTAATGATTGTTATTTACACAGAGGAATGGCGTAAATTGCAGACAACCGAGCTCCTAAAGAAGAAATAAATTAAAATTTTGTTTTTATTATATTCATCACTCGTATCAAATACTGCTTAACAAACATGTCCAGACAATACAACGTAAAAAGATCCACATGAAAAGGAATATCCTAGGAAAAAAGGCAAAAGAGGGGTAAAAAAAATATATGTTTAGTAGTACGGCCAAAGAGACAAAAAGGGCAAATATGCAATGTAGTAACTGTTACTATCAAGCCATGATGCATCACCAAGTCTAGAACGCTAAATGAATATTTTGTTCAAATTTTCATACATGTGAGTTCAGAATAAAAGGAAATTCCATTTATTTCATCTTAGATCCACTAACCTAAAAGATTGAGATTCTTAAGTACTCCTCCAAAGTTCTAGCTTACGATTTATTATCATCCTAGTCTCATCAACAAAAACTATGTCATCAGTGTCTATGTATACACGAAGTGAACTTGTCTTAGATACCCGTAAGCTTATATATGACTAAAGCAAAAAAGTATGGAAACAGGGGATGACTTTGATGTTTATAGTATTAGCCTAATAGGATAATGTTGTTTGGACATTTAAATTTTACAGAAATAAGTGTCACTCTTTCCACAGAATTTTGAACTTTTGCAAGTCTTAACTAGTCATATACTAGTATGATAATAAACACGTATCTAGGATAGTTCTTCATTAGTTTTTATTTCTCGCTTTGTGAATCGTGCTGCATGAAAAGGCTTAGAATAGGGGTTGGTTACCATCGTTAACTATAAACGTGTACTATAAAATTTAAACACTTTATGCAAGCCATTTAGCCAAAAACGTCAATATTCCTGCTTTGTTATGGGCACTTTGGAAACACGTTTCTAAAGATATAGAATCCAATTATCAAAAGAGGAATCAAAGTTTTTAAGAGAGAGAGAGACAAAAGCCATGAAGAAATAAGACCCAACAACACCAGTTTACTTGTGTAAATCATAATAAAGAGGACTTCCATTTAAGCAAGCACCACAACAATTTGACATGAATTGACTCACTCAACCTCCTAGAGAGATCCTTGATCTAGTTGGCCAATATTAAAAGATTCACATGAATTTTATGAAACATCCGACTCAAAACCAGGAACCAGAGTAGTAATAATCTTAATTTGTCTAAATTAAAGTGCTGTAGTAGAAGTCTGATAAAGGATGCTAAGATAAGATAACTAATTAGAAAAGTAACTTTTTGAAAAGTATGTCTCTACGTACTTTTTAAACTTAGCCAAACATCCTCATTATGAAGTTGGATGTCGAGTGAATAAGAAAGGAAGCACCTTAAATGATTAGAAGCATTTTATCACTCCAGCAAAACAAGGCAATAGGAGAAGAGATTATATTTCTTTTTCCTACATACCTTTTTTCAACCCAGGAGATATATCATCTCCTCTAAACACAAGGGGAACATCGATTTTTAATAAGGCACTAGATGGAGCTCTTATGAAGGTAATATTAAGCACCGCATCCGTGCCTGCATGTAGATGAAGCTGATACAATCAAGATAGATTAAATTAGTATACAAAACCCCACAATTCTATATGTATATACATTACATAATGTGCTTGAAAGGATTTACATTATAGAAGAAATCTTAATCATCAGAATTTCCTTCAACAGAACTAATTTGGGCCATTTTTCTATTAGCCATTTTGATACAGGGGCATGCTAATCTTTTCTAAATTGCCTCAAATGTAATGAGAGTTTCCATACAAAGATCCTTTTGGTACCTTAGAAAAGTACAGCTATGAATATAATTTTAAATGAATACAAACTAGTTCCCCCTTTAATGGTTCACAATCAATATCATTACTCATACTAATAATCACAAAGTCATCCTTCTGAAGATCACAGTAAAACCAGATTCAAAGCATAACAAGACAATTCTCTGCCGATTTATTATATTATCATCAATTTAAAATGAATTGAACACATGATAATGATGAAACCTTTTTAGGGTAAGCAATAAAAAAGAATTATTGGAAGCAAAGGAAACAAAGTTTTATAGTAAGGATTTCCTGAAGCTATAGTAGAAAAAGTTTGAAACACTTGAAACTTTCCTGATAGCGAAAGGGCAAATGCTTGTGGACACAAGAATCCTAATCTTTCAACTTTAAATATACTGATCAATGTGACAAAAGTTATGCAAATGAAGCAGGAGCTTGCAACTAATTTTATTATGCTGGAGCATATTACCAATACTCTGCAAGTTATTTAAGCATTCTTCTTCCATCTAATAACAGCTCCACCGTACTTCAAGATATTACTACAGACAACAATACACTAGATGGTATTACTCAAGTCCGTAAAGGGATATATATTCTAATTTCATGCTTAGTCTCTAATGTGCAAGTATCCATCACACTTCAAATCTGTGCTTTCCTCTGTAAGCCCCCATATGTAAATTAAAAACCATCAATGGGGGCACTTTTGCTGTGTTAAGAGGTACACAACTCAAATGGGAACCCACAATACCAATAAAAAAGATCATACACATTCATTAAAATAATACATGGACATTAAAATTTGTAGACATACATAAAAGATATTCGTGAATTTAGACAACCATATAAATCAGGCAACGAGGTACATAACTCAAATGGGAACCCGCATTACATGAACAATATCACAACACAAATCCATTATAGAAAACACACTAGCCCATCATCTTCAACAAAGACTATAAAATTAATAAATTCGAACACACAAATAAAATGAATATTCACGAATTTAGACGATCATATAATCATATCCTTTATGCAAAATTGCCACACTATTGAATTAAATTGATGGACAAGACAATAAGTATCAAGTTCTTACCTTTCTCGGCAAGACCCGGACTTTCTCAATGAGCTCATCGGACTGAAACTCAGGCCGGACCTCCAGATTAAAAAGCCTGGAAAGAAAGAAAGATTGGCCCATATGATTCACGAGCTTCTTTATCTGATTAGTTTGTACCGAAATAAGTCGTTTATTGCCGCCGTACTGGCCATCCTCTTGCTCAAAAACAATACTGGGCACGCGGCCGGCTTTACGCTCCTTGGACGAGATATTCTTACCAGAGATAGAGCGTGGAATAGCGTGAATGATCTCATCGTACTTGGGGTCAGGTCTTGGGAGGTTGTCGAGGTAGGTGAGTTGCTGGGTGGGGTCGAAAGTGGGGGTCGGTTCTTCGAGAAGTGCGGCGGTGGAGATGCGACGGAGGTGGTGGTGGAGGTGGGTTTGGTTCAGAAGCGAGCGTCGGATCAGCATTTGGGCTGGAGTTGGCGCCGGGGGGTGGGGGGGAGTTGGGCGGTTTGAGATTAAGCTGTGTGAATGATGGAGAGAGACGAGAGAGAGAGAGAATCTTGGGACAGAGATAGATTGGGCTATGACTTGGTAGTGTGAAACCATTTGCGCCCGATATGAAGTTGGTGTTTTTTAGGAGAGAAATTGACATAAATACTACTAGTTGGGAGTAGAAAAATGTAGCTGTTTGGTAAAGGTTCCATTTTTACATTTCTCTTCACATTCTATCTTTAGTTCTTTTTGTAGACATTTTCTTTATTTCATTTCGCACTTATTAAACAAAAATAAATGTTGTTGGGCTGGCAATAACGATCAAAATGTCCATACATACGAACAAGAGCGGACGCAGATATTTGAAGTTGAGAGGCACAATCAAACTTACAAAAAAATTGTAAAGAAATTTTCATTGAAATTTTTATATCCAAAGAAATATAGCCCATGTAATTTTACATCCAAAAATTTTCATGGGTGTGACTTATTCGGATGTAAAATTTCAAAAAAAATTAATTTCACATCCCATGCAAAATATGTTAATAAAATGATTAAATTATATTGAAAATTTGTATAGCAAAAAATAATAATAATTGAATTTTTTTTAATAAAATACGAGTTATAGGTCTATTTTTAAAAAGCATGTTTGACACAGTTTTAACTATTTTCGATATTTGTTTAGACCATTCGGTATGACTACAATGTAATTTTCGAAATGAGCTTCAAGATGACATAGACGCTTTGTTAATTCAACTAGCATACGATCATCAAAAAATTTTTAAAGGTAGCGTGTTATCGAAATTTTTGAAATAATAGTTTGGAATGACCTACACAAGCTGTAACATTTGTTACGGTTGACCATTTCAAGCACCATTAACAATGTAGAAAACTAGGTTGTGAGCACTTCGAAATGATATTAAGAATACAATATTTCGATTTCATTTAACATCTCATAATGAAATTAAATTGAGACACAAACGTAAAAATTTGAAAAAAAAAAAAAAGTTGGGGGGTCAAGTGAACCCATACACACCCCTGTGTCTGCTCCTGCATACGAACACTTGACGATTAACTACACTATTGGCAACTTTGAGCGAACGTGTACATTAATCATTCATCTGGTGCAATCAAAAAAATCATCTTTGATTTACTTATAGATCTAGCTATTCATCTCCAATTTGATGAAATCAATCACCCACTTCGATTTACTTGTAGATTTAGCACTTTATCCACTATTAGCAATTTAACCAAAAAATATGCCAACATTACGTTGAAAATAATGAATAAATGACATGTAAAATGTATTTTTGAGTATATATGATTCTCTAAGAAAATATTTTAAGATGAGTGATATGCATTGTTGTGCGATGTCAATAGATACGGTAGTCATACTTTTAATTTTAATATCCAGGTTAGCGGTTATTAGTTAAATTGACAAAAAAATTCAAGTAATTTTTAGATCTGCATATAATTTAAAGTTGGGTGATTTGATTACATCACATTGAAAATGAGTGACCTAGATGCACTTCCATTCAAAGTTGGATGATATTTGATGCATTTAACCCAACACTTGTACTATCTAAACTAGACTAAAGTTCAAGTTTTGTTGGTACTAAGTATTTTAGGTCGAGGTATGTCAATAGAACTATCATTTTCATTAGCAAAAATAAAAGTAATTAATCAATGAAGATTTAGGTGATGGGTGGAGAATTAATTGAATAAAAACTATAAAGTTATTTCACAATGGTCATCAAATGTAGAACGTCTCAATATATGACGAGATTTAGGAGTTGTTTGACAACTTTTGATAAAAGAAAAAATAGTAAATTTTCAAAAAAATAAAAATTGATGAAGTCTATGGTTGAAAAGTAATAAAAATTGTGGTTACCATAAGACATATGATTAAAATTAATTGTTATTTTTTACTACAAAATTTTAGCAACTTTTTAAACTATTCCAAGTAAGAACTTATTTCTTGTTTTTTTCTTGAACACGAAAATGTCACACATCTTATGATGGTCGAGAATCTGCATACTGTAGGACAATGCATTTCCATTTAGATTTTATCCTAGACTATTTTTTGCCAAGATATTGAAAATGCAGTTTAATTTGGTTAAGCCTTCGTTGAGTTTCATTTACTTTTGCTAAATATTTATTTTTTGTCCATCTGACATGATTTTTACTTTTGTTTTTGTTTTCTATAGAATTTTTTTTGGAAGAGGCTATCTTAATTTTTATTTGGAAATTAATTTTTAAAAGAACTTTCTATTCCAAAAGTATTTTTAGAAAAAGTCGCATTTGATCAATTTCTTCTAAAAATCCTTTTAACTATACAAAGTACTTTTATAAAATTAGTCAAACGGTTCAAAAGTAACTTTTGAATCTTAAAAACTATGTTTGACGTTTTAAAAGTTATATCAAATGGACACTTAGTAAAAATCAAAAGAATTTTCTTTTAGATCCCTATAAATAGAATATTTCCCTCGATATTTTAATTGATTCTAGAGTTCAAAGATAGTCATTGACTAGGTTGGGTTGAGACTTGAGATCCTTTATAGTCTTATCCGATATAAATATTTTGGAGTAGTCTTGGGAATTTAGGGTATGTGAGAAAGTTAAATGATTATACAAATTATTGAGCCATTTTTCTCCTCTACTTTCATATTTCATGGCTTCTAAATAAATTCTTAGAAGAAGGATCATGTGGACAAATTGAAGAGTTGATCCAATTCTCAACAAGTGGTAATAGAGTATTAAGTTTTTCAGAGTGTTGAGCTTGAAAAATATGTGCATGGTGATGTGGAAGATTTTGACAAGAGAATCAATTTTGACATATGACACATTAAAGTCATTGATATTTTGATCAATTTATATTGCACAAGAATTTTGGGGGGAAAAATTTAATCCCCATTTTTTATATATGTAAAATGTTTAGACACCTCAAAAGAAATTTGTCAAAAAGAGGAGCATGTTCAGCTAATTGCTCAAAGAATAATACTACTTGTAGATAATGAGTTATTTAATGATTTACACACTCATTAGATATCAAAAAGAGAGTGAGCGAGTTTTTTAATTTGGTTGAAGAATATTCTAACCCAATTTTATTTCATCACATCACGTGTACGTAAATCATTATGGAAATCATATATACATATAGAACAATCGATTCTTGGGTAGAATATATTCATCATTATGACATGTATTTTACAAATAAGTTACCATGATAAAGAATGTTTTATTTTTTAGTGGTTCTGTTATTTTGCACATGGACATTGGTTTGATATTGATGCATGGTGTGGTGAAAATCTGTGTCAAAAGGTATTAACTCCCATGAAAGCCAAACATGATGTTTGCAACTTTGCACCATAAATTTCAGTAAGGTTGTTGGACTTGAGCCTATTAAAATTTCTTAAAATGTGTTTCTTCTAAATGAAAATACTCTTTACGATGGAGTATTGTAATTAATTTTGAGAATTGTCGCTGAGAACGAAAATGTTCATCAAAATTTCCCAAGTCGAATGTCAGGAGGATGGAAGAGAGAAGATTGTGGTGTAGGTACTTTATTTGATTTGGAGGAGATATAAAGAGATTCCTATTTGAACATCATTGAATAATTCAAAGTCAATAGGGAGATTGTCGAAATTGACTTATTATAATATGATTGTATTTATCTAGACCAAATAGAATATATATATATATAGTCGAAAAAAGGATTCCTCACGTCTTTCTCTCATTCAAAATCGTGCATGAGACTTTCATCTTACACGGTTCCTAAGTGATAAAAGAAACAAGGACTCATCTTATATATATATATATATATATTTGATTTGAAGGAGATATAAAGAGATTCCTATTTGAACATCATTGAATAATTCAAAGTCAATAGGGAGATTGTCGAAATTGACTTATTTTTGACTTATTATAATATGATTGTATTTATCTAGACCAAATAGAATATATATATATATATATATATAAGATGAGTCCTTGTTTCTTTTATCACTTAGGAACCGTGTAAGATGAAAGTCTCATGCACGATTTTGAATGAGAGAAAGATGTGAGGAATCCTTTTTTCGACTATATATATATATAATATCATATTATAATAAGACAAAAATAAGTCAATTTCGACAATCTCCATATTGACTTTGAATTATTCAATGATGTTCAAATAGGAACCTTCACACACATTGTTTCTTATTATAAATGTGACTACTATGAATCCTGTTGGAATTGGTTAAAAAATAACCATAAAATTGGTTAAGTAAAACGAAAAGGTGTGACTTTATGTCAACTTCGGTCGAATATTTAGACTTGATCCAGTGGTCAAATTACAAAAGTATATAAACCAACTTGTTCTACTAGTCGAGCAGATTATCGTGGTATATTTGAAATCTCGAAATCAATTATGAATGAATAAGAAATTGAGGTCCAAATTTGGAAGGAAGAAAAGAGGAAATGGCATGTTCTCGCCTTGGCCTATCGCTCGATCGACAATCCAGTGAAAGGTGAACGATAGAAATTTGTAAAAAACATGACCCTTTCGCTCGAGCGAGGGGTCAGTGACAGGCTAGCGAAAATGAAGTATTGCTGCCCATCGAAAGGATGCACGATTTGGTCAACACTACTTCCTTTGCAACCTTTCCACCTCTATAAATAGGACCCTAAGACTTCCATAAGTGCAAACCATCTCATATTTTGCATTGAGTACTCTTCTTCTCTTGCAAAATCCCTCCTCCTTCTTCATTACATATAATATCATTTGTAGAGAGGAAATTTCGTCAGTTCGTCGGTTCTTGTGGTATAAAGTGCTGCTACCACAAGATTAAAAATTCATTGTATATTGGGAGACAAATATCGTTAACCGTGAGCACCGTAGTGAGGCAATATTATCTTAAGGAGAAAATGTCATCACTTGCCTCAAATTTGATTTCTTGTTCTTGTTTTTACTCTTTATTTTCTTGTCACTTTGTTTAAAGTTTTATTTGATTTCCACATCATATACATTATGGTCTAACTACGTTCCTGCAAGTTAGATTTTTTATTTTGGTTATTACATGAACAAACAACCATCCTACCGCTTACATATAAGCTCGGAACCAACAATCTTAAGACAATATTTGTCAAT